CGTTGAATCATCTATTCTGTACTTTTCTCTGATGTTGTGTCATAGCTAGATAGCTGCAAGCGGAATTAAAATCTGATGCAAAAATTTTACATTGCTACCACTTCTTTTGGGTAGAAGGTTTTGCGGAAAAGGTGGCCGAATTCCACGGGTAAACACTAAGCTGAATGGCCATTCATCACGGGCTATATATCAATGACCTTACAAGTAACAAAAGAGGATAGGTGCATTGTTCAAAGTGTGGCCTGGGTCAGAGAAGGGTCCAATTTACTAGATAGTCATAGACTCAAGTAGTACAATAAACTTACCTCTCTTCCTCAACATCGTAAGAGATGATGCGATCTCAGTCGATAATTATCCTTTATACTTTCCAGAACACACAGATACCTCGCTCCAGCACTCGTGTAGGGACGATCAAGGGTAGGGTAAAGGTGTGAACTTTCCACAGCCGCGGCTAATTGGTCCGCCTCAGACCTGCTCATGAACATGTCGATCAAAGGTGACATGAAGTTCAATATTGTGGGGTTCAGAGCACGAGATGCTGGTTATCAATAAACTGATATCTGCAGTTGAAATACAGACTACTTCATGTGATGATCTTTCCGCCAGAACTGACCAGATCTCATCTGATTCGAGTTTTCGATCCCCAGCTCCGAACTGGTCAGGAAATGAGGTTTGGCAAAAAATGTTGGGAAAATGCTATCACAAAGTACTACATTACTATATCGAATGTGATATGATATGTGCCATTGAAGTGACCAGTTAGGTCTTACCTGATAAAATCGCGCCACCTAATTTGAATTGCAGTGTTGATTATTTAAATTGCTGTTTGAGGATAATTTTGGAAACCAAACAAGGCACTGTAAGTCTTGCAATTGATGAAACAACCTCTGTGCATAGTTTGATTGAACTAGGCCGTCCTCACATGAACGGAATAAGGTGTCAAAACGTCGCCTGACTCCTTGACAGTATTACTGCCTTACACAGACCAACTCTCAATTTGCTCAGATGGTTCGGTGGAAACCCTAATTTGCCCCCCACGAGCACAATTATCGCATCATTTTGTTCGGGCGGTAGCTGTGAAGAACGTCCTTGCCATATTATCCTCACTCAGCACCAGCTCAATGGCCGTGTGAGCTTTGAGCGACCTGTGGCAGAGTTCACCAATTGTAATACCGAAATCAAAGGTTCTAACCCCCATCTAACAGGATAGACTGGGCTAGTGAAAAGATCAACGGGAATCCCTGGCCTATGCGAGCGTTCCGATTGGACCATAGACAATTGTGATGAGGAGATATATTCTTAGGACTTTGATTACTAAGGACGGTTGGATATAATTTATGGTTGCTCTTCTGAGACCTCGACAATCCAGGGAATGAAAGACTAATCCTTATTTCGCAGTACACAGCAGAATTACTCCTAAATGTTTTTCGAAGCAGAGCTGTGTATATTCTGGCACGAGAACTCCTGCAACTCTAAATAGCTTAAGGCGAGGAGGCTGGTGAAACCTAGGCGTCCGGTACGGCGCATTTGTTTTTATTGTCGTCAGGGAGGCGCGAGAAGCATATTGTCGAACTAGCTTAAAAGCTATGCAAACGCAGCTGTACACACCGGGCGCAAATAGAATTTCCTGTTGTTAGACTCGTCGAGCCATTTTCTACACCCACGAGTCTCCTGCTTCTAATCAGAGATCGGGAATCTCCCTCACAACTGTAGTCTGGATCGAGTTTCAGGGAGCGCATATCTTTCATATGTTAGTTCGCAGATACAATGATCATCTTCTGATAGGGAACTTCCGGACCATAAGGCCACCACCTTTCTTAGTTCTGGCTAGTCCCGATATCTCCAATGCAGGGTCAGCTTCGTCTCCATCCTGTATCGTCATCTCTTCGAATATAGACTAGACCAGGGACCGCGCGGCGCCCAGGAAGAAAGCTTCTTTCACTCTGCAGTTTGTGCATTAAACATACCTAGTTCCACCGGGGGCATTTCGTAGACCACGCGTGGTTGCTGGGGATGGCATTTCTTGCTGCAGTGCCGAGGACCAAGCGCGGGTTCGTGCAACAGGCCAGGGCGAATAGTCCCCTAACCATTTCAGCGCCGAAAGCAATCTAATCACCATGCTAGGGGAGCTTAAACACCGTACCGGGAGGGAACAGACTTCCATATGCCTGCCAAAAAACATGTCCCGCAAGCTCATTTGAATACACTCACACGTACGCGGTGTCGTCTACGAACCTGGGAGTGAAATATTCTCCCAGAGCCAAGTTCAGTCAAACTTCGCAATACCGAACAAGTTAGCTCACAAGGCAATGATTCAAATTACTCCACCATATCAATCTTTCACTCCCAACGAAATCGATTCCTACCTACACCTCATCAAGTTCACAAGTACGACCTAGTACATCCTAATCCCAATGACCACACCTCTTATCGACTTTCTCTGGCCTTAGCTGGTCGCCAGATACACGCCCACGCCGATATTTACACCCGACGGAGGAAGCAAAGCGTGGCGCACAAATCTGGAAGACAATTCCTTGGGATAGATGTGAGAGGGATCAGGACAAGTTAATAAGATGATGCAGAGGATTGGATACAGTCTCGACGGGCGTGGAATTTTGAATTTTGGAAAGGAGTTTTACAAATTGAGCTTTGTGCGTGCCAAGTCTTCGGCTGCGAGAGTGCAGGCGACACTATAAAAACTGCCATGGTTGGATGGTGCGGTGGTACATCATCTTGGCTGGTCTGCAAAGTAGAGTCTGGATAGCTTGGACACATATCCCACTTGAGACAGCAGATCGCTGGTTCGAATCCGGCAAAACACAACCACTTTTCTCGCGGCGCTGGTATGCATGGATGACGAAGGCATGCTTGGATAACTAAAGGTTTTTAAATTCCCTTTGGTGGGTACTTACAGAGGAGGGTCGACTGTTTGTGTAAGCAAACATACCTCATAGTGGTATTTGCAAATGAAATCCAGAGTATGAGTGTCTCTAATGTCAAAAGAGTCATCCAATATGTATACATAGCACCGGTCATGTGTCATAGCTAGATAGCTGAATACACATTAAATGATTCAAAAAAAAAAAAAAAAAAGAAAAAAAAGAATACACTCACATTTAAGTAAGGATTAGCAGTCAGACGGCTCATGGTTTCCCTTGGAAACACAGGCGAAGCCGCAGTCATTCGATTGGTTACGATTACATCGGACATGTATTGACTTTTATTTGTGCAGCAGATGTTGTCATGAGGCGATAAGACGTAGTATGGAAAAGGAACGCTTACACGGGCTGTTTGCTAGATATTAAGAATAGGAAGGGCATTCTGGTTAATCGAGAAAGCTGCAGGTCTCGCACATGGGGATCAGAAGCGAAACGTCGCAATCTCTGCATTGGTCAATTACTAACTTGTTGCACATCATAGTTATCACCAAAAATCGGTACAAACGTGATATAATGTTTTATCGTCATCACAGGCCTAAGGCTGTGTAGAGATAAGCCGGTAGTCTCAACAACTCGGAATGCGTGCTCCAACCCAAGTCTCATGAATGCTATCTTCGCATCAATGCTAGCCCCTTAAAGATACGCCACCCAAGACCTGTGTGCGGAAAAGATGACAGATGAAAACATGACCCAGGGCCTTTATCTCTGTACGAACATAGAAGGTTATTGTCCCGTCATCAACTCCTCTCTGTAGCCAACCACGCGAAGACAATTTGCAGCTGTGTGGCTGCCAGGGAACACCCGCAAATCCACTAGACGCGGGACTTACCCATTATCGGTATCAAGACTTTATTTGAAGGCAAAGCTACCTTTTTCAAGCGATCTGACGGGCTGTACATATGCCCAACTCAAACCGGCAGACTTGTCTGGAGCTTGGAGTCACTCTCGCCCACCATAACTCTTGCGTGACTTCTCTACTCATGGTGCCTCAGGATTAGACGGTGTTGGTGATAGGAAATAAAGATCTAGTTGACAGCCGTTACGTGGAGAATGTTAGGCTAGCCTCCAATAATTTGTGTAAGATGGGCTTGTCAAATACCTAGATTGATCATATAAACAGTCTGGTCAACAAATGTAGATAACAATATCAGTTGAAAGTGACACATAACTAATCGTATTCGGCTGTCTTCAAGGGTAAATAGTATAATTTTGTATTTTTGTTCACCCACCAGTGAGAGGCATAGATTGGGACGCGAGATCTTCCTCAAGTACTATTATTAAGCTTGGTTTCAAAACATCCCACAATTTCGTCTGTATTCTACTCATGTACATGATTATCACTATGAGAAACGTGTCCTTGAGTGAGAGGGTAAAATTGAGTTCGATGTTGGAAAAATGTGACCCAACCTTGGCTCTGCAGATGTCCATGTGGAAGCTCGAGGGTAGATTAGAGAACCACTGACAAGTATAGCATTATCTTCCCACAAATGAAATTTGTGAGTTAAGAGATGGTCCTATAGAGATATGAACTTTGCTTAATGCTGAATATGTACTTGATTAAAAATTTTCTAATTTATGTGTTGGGGCGTTTCAGGCGTATATGGTAAATTCGACAACGCTGTCGAGCTAATCTTTTTGTGTCTGATTTCTTCTATTGACGTATAATTATAATTAAATTTTGGTTGTTCATACAATAAAAATGTCATAATTCTAACGAATGAGAAATTTCCGGCTTGAATAAATGTTTAATCTTGATGACTTGGAATTTGTCATTAGTATTTCTGATTGGTGTAGCTATTTCTGGATTCCGGAATAGATACACAAAAATTGCCAGCTGTCGAATTATGCTTAAAATACGCGTGGTTTATACCCTTTGCGTTTTAAACAAAGCAATCCGGTATCATGCGTTTATAAATTAGACTCTTTATACATTCAGTTCTTTAAGCAGATTTCATAGTTTCTTCCACTCCATTCCCAAGCAAAGATATGACGCCCTATCGTGACCAGCCGACGCCTCTGACACCCAAGATATGACCAACTCCAGTTTCCCGAGCGAACGTTTCAAATTGATGAAATTCGACCACTTTTTGATGATACAGTCTTTGGCCTCATTTTTATAACAGACTCTAGCTCTCTTAGCATTTTGGTGTTTGCGTCTTGAGACGTTCGAACTGAATTCCTCTTGGCTCTGTCTTCCTTTAACCGTGCGATGCGTTCCTCCCTGGATAAAGTAATCCTTTTTCGCGGTATAGCTGTGGCCTCAAATACTTCTTCGAAATCCATGGAGCTTATCTCGGTACTAGACCTCGGACGCGTTCCGCCATTTAAAACCTGGAGTGCTTCGAGGGCACTTCCTTCCTCTACAACTGTGAGACCGCCTAAGGAGGCAGTGGGCGAAATCATACCGCTCAGGGTTGAGAATCTTCGCTCATTTCGGTCTATATTAGCTGCCAATGCAGACTTTCCCTCCTCCCATTCTTGCATTAAGGCCCTCAAGTCTGTTCCGAGTGACTCATATTGTGTCAAAAGACTGTTATTGAATTCGGATAGTCCATCAGCTTTGTTGAGATTACGGTCAGACTCTTCGCGCAGAACTTGGAGTTTGGCTTGTAGTCCTCTTATACCGGTTGAAAGCGAGTTAAGTTGACGCGACTGAGCTCGCCATCTTTCCCGGCCAGGAGTAAGAGGCAGTTTGGGTGTTGGAGGCACTGGAAAACCTAAAGAAATTAACATCGGAAACTAGTATTCACCGTAGTACATCACCTACTCTCCTCAGCGTTCAACAGACTTGCCAAGCGAGCACCAGCGGAAGCTGTTGCAACACGTATATCACGAATTCTTTCAAGTGCTATCTTCCAGACATGAAAATCATTTTTATTACCGTCTGCATTCAGAGCCATGAGGCAACATAAAAATATTCTGCGAAGTGTGTTGTACCTAGCAGCAAGAAGCTTAAGTGTTCGGACAGATTCTTGGTCTTCAGCCTCTGTCTCAGGATACCCCAACGACGCCTCGGATAAATCATTTTCGGTTATGTCGTAAATATCATAATACTTCTCGAGGTCTAATTCTTCTGCCAAAGGCTGTAATTGAGAAACCGCTTCCACGTACTTTGTTGTAACTTCTACGAAGCTTGTTCTGATTAGTTTCCGAAGTCGTATGCATCTACGCGATTGGCCTCTGTCTTCAATTCGGCTGATTGGAGGTAGGGGACTACTGCTAGAAATATATCAATACAAATTATTTGTCTCAAGCGCGAATTTGCTCACATGCGATATCCACGAGACACGAGCTCAACTTCCTGGACCAGCGATATTGCGTTAGCTGCAGCTCTGTCAAGCTCGTATGCAGACACGATCAAATTTGATAGTTCGGTGACGGTTTCTTGTCTTAAATTCTGAAGCCATTGACGACGAAAGTATGCGTATGAGATCATCCCAGCTATCCCAAGTACAGTTAGCATGACGGCAAGCCGACCTCTTCCAGCGGCAGAGCGAGCACTGTTACGCGCCCAGTGAATGAGCCATGCTAATGAAAACGCAGATAGAGCAGTAAAAGCAGCGCCTGTGGGCGAGAAGGCTTGAAGCTGCAAGTTATCACCTTCCTGCGCGTAGCTTGTCCTTAAGCTATCTGAACTGCTTGGATATGTGTGGAGATTCAAAAGTTGAGAAGCGACAATCAGGTATCGGAAGCGTTCTAGGAATCGAGCGTTGTCAGCTTGACTTAGTCGGGAGTCGAGGGCACGCTGCAAGTTATGAGTATAAGGTTGCCTAAGTTACTAAAGTTCATTTAGACCTACAGAATAAAAATCTTGAAGGATTTCTACAACCCTGTGTTGAGGAACTTCTCGCCATAATGGGGGTGGAACTTTATATCGAAGCTTGTATGTATTTAGTCTGCCTTTTGGCGCGAACGATGGATTGGGTAGTAGATTGGCTGGAGTAGTATCTTCACTATGGTCTTCTTGACCTTTACCTAGGCGCTAAGTTAGCTTCTGGAGGAGATGGCAACTGCTCAAGCGTAGTGACTCGTTTGCGACATCAAACATACCTTCTAGATATGCTGCGAGAGGTGTATCCTCCAGCACAACTCCCTCCATCAGAATGTCAAGAAGGGCCTCTATCCATTCCTCTTGACAATAAGATTTGCGGAGGTTCTTTTGGTTGGCCTAAGTTAACTGCAGCGATTTTGAAAGATAATGTCTTGGTTGACGCGTTGGACGAAAAGGAAACGCTTAATAAATAGGTGTCAGTGTCGGGTTGAAGGCAAATTTGGTCCGACGTCCGAGCACATGGATGACCTTAAAGACAAATGAATAATTTATCCGATAATTCCATTCACCAAATCACTGCACGAGCCATATATATTGTGCCTGCCATCTCATATATTATGAGTTCTTGACACTTTTCACAACAACTCAAAAGTAAAAATTTAGTCCCTATTTTCATGAACGTATCGTGATACTAAAAATAATATTGAAGCCCCATGAAAGAAGCCAACAGTACTCGTGCTAGACCAAAGATGCCTGCTTTGTATGATGGCTGGATTGCCGTGTTTCTCTTGGCCAGATCAACATAAAGACGACCCCGACATACATTATACGCACTAACTACCAATGCTTGCTTGATCCTTGTAGAGATCTGCGAGTTATGGACCTAAAAAGGATTCGGGTAATTGATGGTCGCGGTACGGCCAGATGGATGATCAGTCCAGAATACAACGGTTAGTGCACCATAGCAAGCTTTGCTTGTGTGGACTCGGTTGCAGAGCGTCGATTGATGATTCCAGCAGAGAGCAGGGATAATCTTAGTGTGCGAAGCTCATGATAAGCACGAAACATTATCATCTATTGCATGATTTCGACGCTTGTCACCTAAACTCCCGCCACGCAGGACCGTTGCGACACACTAAGACTGAAGTCAATCGTTAGTTAGGCTCTCATGCAGCAGTTAATTTAAGTTATCGTTTGGTGATATTGCAGTGTGGAAGGCTCCAGTGTTACAGAAGCACTGGGAACATAAATTTTCCTTTCCCACCACTCGCAAATGATTACTCATGTGGAAGACTGGTAGAAAACAAAAATTTGATCTTCTCTAACACCACTTTTTCGTCGGCGTTGTTCATATGAATTCGCCAATACATCCAATTAAGTGCCATCAGCTAGACAGACGTGTACGTGTGAGAAGTTGTCGTGTTTCAGATTAGGACTTGAATATTGTAAGTTGTATGTGTGTGGATGGGAACCCACCAGGCTGACTAAGTTTTTTGGTATCATTAATGCCGTCGATTAGGTTCTTTTCGATACCCCCCAGCTCGAGTGGAGTAGCCTTCTCTCTCGTGCATTGCCCTCAAGTTACCTAGAACTTCAGGGTCTTTAGCGCACCGTCACGGGTAATCTGATACATCTCCTACACAGTCTTAGACCTAAAAAGGATAATAGTATTAATAATAAAGCAAAAGATCAATCCGAGTGCTCAAATATCATAGTGTGTGACTTTTTGAAGAAACTTGAGGTGGCAGATTCTTAGCCCAAATTTACATTTATACTGACAAATAACTCATGAGGTGACATGTTCTCTTTATTTCTGCGTACAATAGAATGGGCGCCTTCATATGTTTTAAGCGGTAAGTATCGCATTGGATGGCCTGATTTTGTTTCCACGGAGTTACCAAAATGACGTAAGTCGGACTCGGATTCCACTGGAAAGCGTAAAAATCCAACGTTGGTCAGATATAAGGAGAAATAGGCAAGTAACTTGAAGCTACCACAGCGTAGCACTTGTGGCCACTAGTAAACAAATCCAATGTAGTCGTTGATTGAAAAAATACACGCTCAAGCCTGGTTCCATGACTTAGAGCCGTGCCGTTTTCCATGAATCAGCCGATCGCGGGAGGGAACTAGAGTTGATGTTTGATGACAATAGTAGCACCTGGTGTGTGTTGGCGATGGAAAAATGAGGGTTTAGGATGGAAGTTCTTGGGACGATCTCGACGTGCTCTCCACTCTTGGCCGGGGCAAAGATCAGATGTGCTAGGCGCCATCAACATGGCATAGTCTGGAATGGGATTGGCAGGGTATGCTTTGACTGTGGCTGGCTCGATTTAGCGAGATCGTTGGATTGGGCAATTGTAGCAGCTTGCTGCTCGGACTTGAGCCCTACGAATGGCCAGCCAGCCAGCCAGCCGGCCACCCAGCTATGTCATGGCACAAGCGCATGACGGGCCCGGGCCAAATGGGGAACTACAGTCCAGAGTTACACCCGCGGCCGCACTGGTCATGCACTGCGCTATTGTCTTCCTGGCCCCGTCAATTGCCCCTCAATCGAATACCGCAAAACTGCTGGCCCCTGTGACCTTGTACATTATCCGGCCACAGGGCCCTCCCATTCTCTCAATATTACCTGGAGATACCCGTCTTCAAATCCTTCCAGCTTGAGATACCCCAGTGTCGAAATCCTCTCTTGCCTGCTTAGTCTCATGTCTCCATGAGAGACATTTGAGAACGTGACAGCCCAAGCTGCTACATCATGCACGCACTGCCAAAGGCTCAGCCGTTTGTTTCTTCGGATAATCTGCAAGGCTAGGATCAAAGAGGCCCGATATAAAGGTCGTCGTAATAAGTCGGCAAGTTGCTTTCTAGGATCAAAATAAAAACAAAGAGACTGCCTCATTGACCTGACGAGATCGAATTGTTTGTTCCCCCCCATGACGAGCTTGTGATAGCTAATAAACTAGGTAGAAATGGAAGTACAAGACCAGCAATGAAAAGGGATGAGTTTAAAACTCATGTACTTGTTAAACAAAAAGCGAAAAGACTGATACTGGAGGCGTGGAAGAGAGACTGGAACCTGGAACTTTAGCATGAGGAGGAGGGCAGAAAAGCTGAGGGAAGGGACTTGTTAAGTACTATAGGATCCATGCCCAAACCAATCATACCAGTGTATCTTTCAAAATTTTCATCGATAACCTAAACTTTGTAACACTTTCTTGAATCGTTCTTGAATATTTTTGGATTCAGCACTACATACTATACAAGTACAAACAGCTTTACAACATTACATCATTAGAGTCTATTTCACATGACACACCCCCTCTTTTCCCCTGAAACATTAGCTGATATCGACGCAATGAAAGCCAGCTGATGAAAGATCAATTACTATAAACCAACACTGGCAATCTTTTATTTTTATTTTTATTATTTCTTTCTTTTCAATATTCACTTCATCAATATTTACACGGTTAACCCATGCCTTTTTATCAAGAATGTACTTATTTGTTGAAATTATTTCGCTTAAGGCTTGGTTTCGTCCGGTTGATTTTGTCATTGCGTCTGCTGGATTAGACGTGCCTTTTATCCATACAATTATAGTAACTTCCCTTCGCTCATATGCTTGTCGCACAGCTGCAATATCAATCATTAGTCTCTTCTCCTTGGTGGTTCCAAGCTTTACTAGGCATTCATATAATGAGAAACTATCAATACATATTTTGAGAGGAATTTCTCTCCCCATTATTCTGTCGATAGTATGCTTAAGTGTGCAGGACGCATCAAACCCTGAGACCATTGCACACAATTCGGAGGCTAGTACGCTACGTGTTACCTTCTCTTACACTTGATCGATGACCATTGAACAAGATTGCAGTTGCTATTATCCGCAAGGATAATTACAAAGCCCATTTGGCTGGAGAAATCAGCGTTATTTGCAAACGAACCATCAGTAAATGTAATAATTTGTAATTGTGATGCCACTAATTTTACAATTTTAAGCCCTGTATCCTTGTTCGAAATTTGCCATTGAATACATTTATTTAATCTCTTGAAATCGTCATGTAAGGGATTAGTTGTCTGCGCTGCAAACGACAGGTCAAATGTAACTATTGGTTGATATACTGAGGCAATGTATGCCCCCTTGCGCGTTGGGTAATATATTCTTCTTTAGTATTTGCAAACGAGAGTGCTTCGCAGTGTGATGCTTGTGTGATTTCCAAGGAACCATTAGTTAGAAAAGATATCTTTGCTCCATTGAAATTCAAGTGGTGATAGATATCTAATTGCTAAATATCTTTTGCTGACAATCCTGCTTTCTTTTGTTCTTCTTGGACCCTAAATTCTTCACTACAACCAATTAACGTGTCATCTGTTTGAATTCCTACAATTGCGAGATGATTAAATAACAGGCATGGGCCACTGGATGACTCAGAGAGTTGGAGGTTATTCGTGTGATGACTATGATAAGTCTTAAACCAATGGTTTCCAGCCTCTGGAATGCCATAAAGTGGACGCACAACCCTTAAGACTTTGTCCGTTGGCAGCTTTAGCTCTGGTGGCGGCTGCACGAAAAAATCTCTGATTAAGTTGGTCTTAGACTGCGTATATGCCTGGCTAATATCCCTGCTGATTGTTGAATAGTTTCGTTGCAATGCTATCGATAAGAGAAGTCGTTGGCTGGCACGTCGAATGGTCGGGGATTAGGTGAGAACTATATATTTATTCTGATCTTTATACGCCTGCACGACTAGCCTTGACTTTTCAAATGCGTGTGTTGTTCCAGCAAACTTAATTGTATCAATTAATTTGCTTTTGAATAGTCGAGCAGATTTTTAGAGTTCTCTGGTATTTAATGATTCGTATACTCCTCTCTCTAGAAGTCCATCAAGTTCTCTCTTGCGTGAAGTTATGAAATTATCGGTAGCTGAATCTTGAGTCTGGTGATGTCACGGGACTAAGAGCTAGCGCCGTACACTTTTTTTTTTCATCAGATTTTAATTGCGTATGCAGCTATCTAGCTATGACACAATATCAAAGAAAAATACAGAAAAGATGACTCAATTTACAAAAGGAGCACTCATGCCTCGGATTTCATTTGCAAGTACCACTGCGAAGTTATGGCGGCTTTTTCTTCACCCCAAGTCAACCCTTATCCGTGAATACCCACTCAGGGGAACGTCTCAAAAACCCTGAGTTATCCAGACATGCCTCCGTCATCCATCAACTTTTCTCCGCGCGAAATATGATTTGAGATGTCTCCTTCCTAAGTGGAGTAGGTGCCCAGGCTACTCAAACTATACCAGAAAACATCACCAGGAGGCGGATCACAA